GAGACGAAATATGTCGACATGGATGTGGTATTACATGGACGTACCGTGGACAGCCGTGGACTGTCTTGTCCACGCTTTGTCCATGCGCGTCACGGGCGGGTGTAAAATGCAAAATCCGCCTAACCTGCACGGCATGGCACGTTCCGCGTGATCACGTGATGTGAGCAGTATTTCCGTGTCACAATGTCGTGAGCTACGATTACTAGTGATAACAAATGGTTTTATGTAAGTACCGTAACACATAATCAAAATGAATGAAATAGGATTCTTAATATGGGCATGTCTTCACTGTGACAAATTTTCTCTTCACAAATAGAAGTGATCCAATTGAAATACTGATCAGTCATGTGGTGTATATTGATGGTCAGTATTTTAACCAGATTGAAAGAGGCAGTAACGAGGTATAGTGTTCTATGATACCAGTGTACTGAGACAAGATCTGTTGTAACACTTTGACAAAAGTTTAATGTGTTACACACAGTGTTGCATGTACTTTTTATTCGAATTATCAACTGTTCGTGTTTCAATAGTATTTCTTACTAAGACAATGACCGATAAAGTACTTCCAGTTAAGCGGTGTATTCGAGTTTTCCGAGAATCAATTTCGAAGGTACCAACATGTAGTTGTACTGTTTGTATTCTATAACGTATAATTCCAGAACTAAAGGCTCCAAATATCTTCTTTTTTTTTAAATGTTTAAATAGTAGTTGTAAGAAAATTATGATAGTATGGTATTCCATTGTACCTGGTATCTATATCAGGTTCTGCGTTTCAGATCTAAGGAGGTTCAGTTTAAACTTTCAGAAGATCTGATGTTTTTTTTTAAATAGAAATGTTTGTTGGATTATTAAAAACAAAAGATAAAAGTTATTGTATATATTTTTTTATTTTGCAACACAACAATTATGGTCAATCATATGACTCCTGTTTAAGTCTTCAGAGGCTGCGAGACATAAGTACATATATACTTGCATACAACAAGCCTGTTAGCCAGAAAACCAATAGGGTGACTGGTATAAAATAAGATTATACCATCAACACCTGTGCAAAACTAAGTTTTGACTTGTGTTCTAGATTTCTTTCCAGAAAAGCTATGTTTAGGTTTAACTACACAAAACATTTTGAAAAGATTTGGTGGTAAACATTGTTAGATAAATGACTAGAGCCACGAGGTAACATAAATGTATACCACTTAGACTGGTTAGTGAGCTGAAAGCAGAACAAATATCACATCTAGTAGCTGTAGACAGGCTACCAACATGCTTAAACAGCATCAAGAAGGGGTAAAAGACATAAGGAAAATAAAGTTTACCTCAGCAGAAATTGTACAACTGGGTCCAACTCCTAAAATGTGTTTGACTCTAGTCTAATGCCACAGAAAACTAGGTTCTTGTACAAATGTGTTTCACTAATAAGCACATGGTAAATTATGGCTAGCAATTTAATTGATAGTTCTCAACTTCTAACAATCTTCGTTATCATAGGGTCAAACATTTATGATGGCTGAATATTCCACCAGAGATCAACTGATATCAGTACACACTCTCTTTAATTCCATTATTACTGTTGACTAGACTCCCAGACAAATCTGCACAACGTAAACAATAGGAAGTTAGAAATCTGATTTCCATCCTAAATGATACAAGATCACTTAACTGTCGTTGAGGGAGAACATAAATATTACACAACAAAAGGCAAGAACTCTGTAAACATTTGCAACAAAGGCCAAACTGGGTGTTTGAGATCCAACTACATCACAAATACACAGGGAATAAAGGGCCATAACTCTTGTAAAAAACAAAGGGACACATGGCTCAATTTGTGATGTAATCTGTAAGAGACATACGTCATTGTATAAAAATGTCTCATAGTAAGTAAATTCTTCTTTTAATCCCTAATTGTATATTCTACATATTGAAAATAATACTTGTTCAAAATAAAATATTATAAGCTTTGAAAAATAAAAATTATAATAACAATAAAAACAAATTAAGCAGTTGCTTACATAGATATCCCCCCTCCCCTCCTCATCTTATAATCTTGTACACAAGCTATTTATTTCAAGTGGTCAACCTTTGATGGTCAACCTTGACCGATGGCCACATCAATACCTAATCAGATGTAGATATTAGTGGGATGAGACCACAGTGTGAACAAGACCTATACCTGTCCATGCTTTCATGAGTTATACATACACAATACATGAACATGGACTCACAGATGCAAGCATGCATAACAAAATGCTTACAGGTATACTATATACCTTATTACATAAGTGAGGACTATAGAAAATAAAATAAATAAATAAAGAAGTTAGATTTGTACATTTTGAGAATTGTCATGAAGCATATATATATGAATAATATTAGCATAAAAAATAAACAATAAAAATTGCTCCCATAAAAAAGTCCCTTGTATCCAGCTATGGACTAAATCAACAGTTTCCAAAACTACCACTACTAGGCTATAAAATATGTTTTAATACAAAAGTATTATTATGCATTACAAACCATGAATTTTTTAGCTAATGGAGGCTTACTGAAGCAACAAGATGAGCCATTTGCTCACAAGAATGAAGTTGAGTGTTTAGCTTGAATAAAGTGTTAAAGACTATACACAGTATCAATTAAGGCCTAAAGTAAAATATTAATGGTTCATTTAAACCTTAGATCTACAAATACACTGCAAATTATCAAAGATGCAAAATTTTGTTAACTGCTTCTTCAATTCCAAACTTGTAGTCTTTTAATTTTTTTTCCTCTGTATCTCTCTCTTCAAAGCAAACTAAAAAATAGTTTCATATCATCAGACGATACATCATCGTTTATCAAGATTCTATGTACTATTAAAAATCAAAATTAAAAAAGAAAATAGCTGCTAGAGGATACAAGTCAAAATACATTTCTTTGTCCATAGCATGTACATGTATGTAAAATGGACAAGAGCTTTAAGACTTTCCTATCAAACTTAACACTTTCTATTGCTTTTCACTTAGATATTTTGTACCATATCTTGTAAAAGTAAAACTTTTTGAAAAGAAAAAAGTCATCCGTTAGAAATGATATGAGTTATCTCCCTTCATACTTGAATACCCAATCATTTATCTCTGTATGACCTGTTAAGTAAAAAAAAGTACAGGTCTTTATGAAGTAAAATTCCCATAAAACATGAGTTAAAGTACAAATGTATACACACATTTCAGTATGATATGATAAATATATTAAACTTTAAAACAAAATACGTTGTAGATCTATACATATCCAAAATTACAAATGATATGTTATATGTAACCTCAACTTTATCATACTTGGTCATTTATTCTGTGGCTAATTTTGAATATATTTCCTAATTAAAAAGTCCGACCATATATATTATTAATCTAAAAGAAGTTAACAGCACAATATAAACATTTGGTTGGTATTGTCTGGCAATGAATTCTATAATCAAGTAATGTTATTATTTCCTTCTTTTACCAGGATACCATTTTGAAAAAAATTACTTTTCGCTAGATAATACATTTTCTTACAGTACTGTTGAGTCATAGAGCTTAGCGCTATGCATACAATAAAGAAGTGGTGCAGTAAGATGAGCCAGCAACATGACTGACCTGAAGGACATTTTACTACCGTAATTATATATGATACTATTTGAAATATCTGTATATCAAATGCTGATATAATATCAAAAATTGTAAAAAGTATTCCATAAACAGATTCACACTGAAGATTATTATCAGCACCTAAATGAATAATCTTCTGTTTAAAACATTCAACAGCTTCAAACAGCTGAAGCTTAAAACAAGCATTCACAGAAACTGATTTTTTTTCTTGTTTAACAAAACAGTTGCAATATGTATAGCAAAGCTACATTAATATGTAGTCTATAACATCGTCCTTTAGAGCAATGACCAATCTGTATGAATGGGTCACATTGCTACCTACATATGTAAACTACATTATAGATTTTTAACACATTTCACAAATATCTACAAAATTATTAGTCATATGCTGTTCACGACAGAACTCATTCATAATCCAGCAGAAAAGGGTACCAGAGAACCTGAGTACCACAGAACCTGAGTACCACAGACCCCGAGTACCACAGAACCTGAGTACCACAGAAACCGAGTACCACAGAGCTGCATGGGTACCAGAGAACTGGGTTCCTTAGAACGAAGTACAAAAGAACCAGGTACCACAGTACTGGATAACGTAAAACTGAGTACCACTGAGCTGATTACAACAGAAATAAACAGGTTTAAGTCTCATAATGTATTATATGAAGATGAGTCTGTCAGTTATAACCTGCAAATCATCATAGTAAAACATTAAGGACCAATCTCCCTTAACTTCATGACAGCACTGTATAGGGGAAAACACCTGTTGCATTTTATTTTCATCATTTTTGCCATTTTCTCCGATGTGGCAAAAACAAAAAATTAGCTAAGGATTAACGCTAAAGCTGAAACATATCTTAAAATGTCTTTTAGGTCAAAATTATCACTGGGTGAAAATCAAAAGTTTTATGCGAGGGCGAAAAAAAATCCCTGATTAAATGATTCCCTGTATATGATACAAAGACAACTAAATTCCCAGTACATTCCTAAACATGTATATATATTACGACTCGCCAATCTATTAGTTTGCATTTTTATAAACACTAATATGAATACAGCTATACATATTTATTTATAGAGCTTACTTCATAGAATCTTCTAAAGCGCCAGCAGAGTATCACCAGGACAGATATACCAAAGCTACTTTTACACATCATATGGGTCAAAATCACATGTAGTTCTGATGACATCTGATCAATAGAATACCATTACAACCAAATCAAGATGTTGGTTGGTTGCTTAATGTATCAAACATGTTTTCACTGTTATCATCATTTAGCAGACACAAGGACAGTGGACTTAAATAATATCTCTGCCTCCAGTGAGACATGGCCATGTCGGTCAAGTATGTCCTCCAGTGAGACATGGCCATGTTGGTCAAGCATGTCCTCCAGTGAGACTCTGCCATGTCGGTCAAGTATGTCCTCCAGTGAGACAAAGCGATGTCAGTCAAGTATGTCCTCCAGTGAGACATGGCAATGTTGGTCAAGCATGTCCTCCAGTGAGACAAAGCGATGTCAGTCAAGTATGTCCTCCAGTGAGACATGGCAATGTCGGTCAAGCATGTCCTTCAGTGAAACATGGCCATGTCGGTCAAGTATGTCCTCCAGTGAGACAAAGCGATGTCAGTCAAGTATGTCCTCCAGTGAGACATGGCAATGTTGGTCAAGCATGTCCTCCAGTGAGACATGGCCATGTCAGTCAAGTATGTCCTCCAGTGAGACATGGCCATGTTGGTCAAGTATGTCCTCCAGTGAGACTCGGCCATGTCAGTCAAGTATGTCCTCCAGTGAGACATGGCCATGTTGGTCAAGTATGTCCTCCAGTGAGACAAAGCGATGTCAGTCAAGTATGTCCTCCAGTGAGACATGGCAATGTTGGTCAAGCATGTCCTCCAGTGAGACATGGCCATGTCAGTCAAGTATGTCCTCCAGTGAGACATGGCCATGTTGGTCAAGTATGTCCTCCAGTGAGACTCGGCCATGTCTGTCAAGCATGTCCTCCAGTGAGACTCGGCCATGTCTGTCAAGCATGTCCTCCAGTGAGACTCGGCCATGTCTGTCAAGCATGTCCTCCAGTGAGACATGGCAATGTCAGTCAAGCATGTCCTCCAGTGAGACTCGGCCATGTCGGTCAAGCATGTCCTCCAGTGAGACATGGCAATGTCAGTCAAGCATGTCCTCCAGTGAGACTCGGCCATGTCTGTCAAGTATGTCCTCCAGTGAGACACGGCCATGTTGATCAAGTATGTCCTCCAGTGAGACATGGCCATGTTGGTCAAGTATGTCCTCCAGTGAGACATGGCCGTATCAGTTAAGTAAGCGCACTGGCAAACACGATAACTCTATAATTATGCTATCACTGTAATGAATGCAGGTGTTGATGTCCCAGCCTATTTCTATAGAGGTCTAATGAAAAACATATCATAATCATAAACTTCCCTAATATCCCACTATCATCAAACAATAACTTGGAGTCAGGTTCTCCTAAATTTTATCTGTAAAACATTTCCAGTTAGTTAAATGTGTCATAGAGATAAAATAGATATGTCTTCCATTGCAATTAAGAATCAATTAAGTAATGATCAAACATTAAATTTCTGGTTTCCTTCCAAATCACATTTCATATACTTTTAGATCAAGAAAATTCTGAGCTTTAGAAGTCATTTATAATCACTGGTATCAAATGAAACAACACATTTGTAATAAAACGACATAAGTTTTAGAATAGGGTGTAACCCCACACACATCATATTTATCTAGCTGTAAATCTATGACTGTCAAATAGGTCTACCTATATCTGATACCGTTATGCTGCTCATTAGCATAACCCACTTCAAACACACCCACAACATCAGGTGTATGTCAGCATAAACAGTACATTATGACTTTGACCCATACATCATTTATTACAGTACCCTGTAGTGAATTTATACAAGTTAATATCAACATCCAACATAGCATTCAAAAGCACATTCTATAATATATCACGGTCAATTCTCAACATTAGACACACTACCTAATTACAAAAACATCACCGATTTGTTAGGTAGTCTGACTTCCAAGTTTTAGCGACTTCAAATCCTTTTTGTTTCAGCTTGTAGTCCAGAATGGCTTGTTGGATCTCCTCTTCAGTATTCATTACAAACGGACCTAAATTATAGAGGGGAAAAAAACATAAAACAAAAATTCTATTATCAGTATTTATCACTGAATTAAGCATACAGTGGTGTTGATCTAGAAAACATCAGTCTGAACTGGTTAATGTTTTATTTGTGTCAGATATAAGTTGTACCAATTATGTTAATTTTATTTACGTGTTTTCGATTCTTCACTAAAGATAAATCCTCCCTACTTTGTCTCCTCTAACAGATTAAGGTCCTCACATCCTATCCCAAGTCATCAAACAAACAAAGATTCCTCATTTAATATCCATATGATTTGTGTTGATTGTACATTGAATAAATCTGATCAATCATTTTTTTCTATCTTCCCTCGTAAAAGTGTAAAATAATGTTATTTGTGAGTTGTTCATTTTACGTAAACACATGTAACTCAAGTCTAAATCAATGTAAATGTTGTCACTTATCAAATTTCAGATCAATAAAAGATATTGTCACTTATCAAATTTCAGATCAATCAAAGATATTGACTTTTGCCAAATTTCAGATCAATAAAAATACTGACACTTGCCAAATTTCAGATCAATAAAAATATTGACACTTGCCAAATTTCAGATCAATAAAAATATTGACACTTGCCAAATTTCAGATCAATGTTATTGTTGACACTTACCATGGGTAGCAACTGGTTCACCTAAAGGCTGACCACCTATTAACACAAAATGACATTCCTCTGGTCCCTGAAATATCAAATATTACAGTTTCAACACATGTCATTTGAACGAGACACTGTTGTGTGAACATCACTTGTACACACATAGCTATGGGTATTGAGTTTCTTAATGGTTTATTTCACACCTTTGTTACCTTGAAGGAAGGTCAAGGAAAATTTTGAACTTGAGAAGAAGTCGAAAATGTGTTTTCAAGATGGCAACCATGTTGGATTTCGGACCAACCCGAAATTAACACACTTTGGTCAGGATCATGTCATGATCATTTTAGGTAAGTTTCAGTTCAATGAGACATATAGAACTTGAGAAGAAGTTGAATATGTTTACGATGGATGACGGACGACGCCGGACAAACGGCAATCGCAATAGGTCATCAGACCCTTCGGTCAGACGATGTAAAAATCCCTTATGAAGTGATTTATGATAATATTCCTCACATAATATACTACTACACACTATAACAGGTTAGCTATGATAATATTCCTCACATAATATACTACTACACACTATAACAGGTTAGCTATGATAATATTCCTCACATAGAATACTACTACACACTATAACAGGTTAGCTATGATAAAATTCCTCACATAAAATACTACTACACACTATAACAGGTTAGCTATAATAATATTCCTCACTTAAAATACTACTACCTACACACTATAACAGGTTAGCTATGATAATATTCTTTACATAATATACTACTACACACTATAACAGGTTAGCTATGATAATATTCCTCACATAATATATTACTACACACTATAACAGGTTAGCTATGATAAAATTCCTCACATAATATACTACTACACACTATAACAGGTTAGCTATGATAATATTCCTCACTTAAAATACTACTACACACTATAACAGGTTAGCTATGACAATATTCCTCACATAATATACTACTACACACTATAACAGGTTAGCTATGATAATATTCCTCACTTAAAATACTACTACACACTATAACAGGTTAGCTATGATAATATTCCTCACATAATATACTACTACACACTATAACAGGTTAGCTATGATAAAATTCCTCACATAATATACTACTACACACTATAACAGGTTAGCTATGATAATATTCCTCACTTAAAATACTACTACACACTATAACAGGTTAGCTATAATAATATTCCTCACATAATATACTACTACATACTATAACAGGTTAGCTATGATAATATTCCTCACATAATATACTACTACACACTATAACAGGTTAGCTATGATAAAATTCTTCACATAATATACTACTACACACTATAACAGGTTAGCTATGATAATATTCCTCACATAAAATAAATACTACTACACACTATAACAGGTTAGCTATGACAATATTCCTCACATAAAATATATACTACTACACACTATAACAGGTTAGCTATGATAATATTCCTCACATAATATACTACTACACACTATAACAGGTTAGCTATGACAATATTCCTCACATAAAATATATACTACTACACACTATAACAGGTTAGCTATGATAATATTCCTCACATAATATACTACTACACACTATAACAGGTTAGCTATGATAATATTCCTCACATAAAACACCACTACATACTATAACAGGTTAGCTATGATAATATTCCTCACATAAAATACTACTACACACTATAACAGGTTAGCTATGATAAAATTCCTCACATAAAATACTACTACACACTATAACAGGTTAGCTATGATAATATTCCTCTCATAAAACACCACTACATACTATAACAGGTTAGCTATAATAATATTCCTCACTTAAAATACTACTACCTACACACTATAACAGGTTAGCTATGATAAAATTCCTCACATAAAATACTACTACACACTATAACAGGTTAGCTATGATAATATTCTTCACATAATATACTACTACACACTATAACAGGTTAGCTATGATAAAATTCCTCACATAGAATACTACTACACACTATAACAGGTTAGCTATGATAATATTCTTCACATAAAATACTACTACACACTATAACAGGTTAGCTATGATAAAATTCCTCACATAAAATAAATACTACTACACACTATAACAGGTTAGCTATGACAATATTCCTCACATAAAATACTACTACACACTATAACAGGTTAGCTATGATAATATTCCTCACATAAAATACCATTACCTACACAATAAAACAGGCTAGAGATTACCTTGTTTACTGCAACTAAGTTTTCCCCTTCATCATTGAGAATGAGGGCATGGTGAGGGCATCCCTCGGTCTGATTCCCTTCTGGTCCTAATCATTGAGAAAAAGAAACCAATCAACAGTAAATATGGGCAGTGACATTGAGTAAAAAATATCAGCAACGGTGAGTAAAAGTGAAACAAAACAAGGTACAGATGTGTATACATCTGAAATGTTCAGTTCCTGAAATTCATTGTAAATGGGTAGAAAATGTGGGATTTAATTGTTCCAATATTAATTTTTGAATATATATGTAGATTGTTGTTTATTACTTACCAAACAAGGCTTTACCACTGAGTACATAGACAAATGAATTCCACCCTTTCTTAATAGGCTGAACCAGTTTACCATCTTTCTGCATCTTGAAGTCTAAGTACACTGTTTGTGTTCTTGTCAACATTGGCGACTACAAAAGTTGTCATTAAAATCTAATCACACACAAATTTATGATTAAAATATATAAGAGGATGAGATTCAACAGATTCACAATCATCATCCAGTTCAATCGTACAACACAAAATCATTGTGTTAACAAGATATATAAGCACAAAAATGTACACAGAAATAATCCATTTACCAAAAACAATCCTTTTTTCTCATATTTATATATATATATATATAAACCAGGAACACATATTAATGAGAGAAAAAATACAGCCACTACTTACTAATACAGAGATCAAACTGACCTTGACACCTTGAGATTCCCCAGCAATGACCTTGACAGTGGTGTTGTCCTTGGTGTTCCGTGGAATATCCTTGTCTTGGAGTTCCTGATAGGCAGGATCAATCATCTTGTCTTTGCTGGCTAAATTTACCCACAGCTGAAGGCCATGAACCTCCTCTGTACCAGAGGGCATCTCACAATGGACAATCCCTCTACCAGCAGTCATCCACTTCAAAATAATTATATACAACTTTCACTTCTCATGATCCTCCTGTTTTGATGGATAAAGACTGAGAGTACAAGAATTTCATAATCAGTGATGTTTTACAGTAAGCATATACTGTAATTCATATAAATCTTAAGTTGAATCTATTTCTTAAAATCCTTGTGTGTGTACTTTTAAGAATCACTGTTTCCAGATGGTTCTGTTATTGGATAAGTTTTGCACTTTAATTGTCTGTCCATCTGTCCATCCATCATTCTCTGTATCACACCGATACCACTATTGCGTAGCTGTGATCATGATCTGGACATGAGCAGGCTCAAATTTCAAAATGTCACAGAATCAAAAAGCTGATTTGTTTTATGATAAAAAATTTTACAAGTATGTAAATATTCATCCACACCAGCATTATCAACACCGGTTTAAACTTTGTCCTTGACCTTGGGACAGAAGACAATATTCTAAAAGTAAATCCACCAGAATATACTTTGTATGTTTCCAATCGATATAAGGTTTATAATGTACTATAATGTATAATCCTTAAGCACAGGGAATAGTATGTCAATAGGTCTAGTGAAAACAGTCGTCAGTGATTGGTTCCCTGTTCCCTAATGTACTTCTAGTAACTTTAATCATATACTGTACCCTAAACTACTGACACCTGTATAAATCTCACCTGAACATCACCAGCATGAAGGGTTCCCTTGTGACCACAACAGTCCTCATGCATCCCAGCACCTTGCAGGACATATGATACCTGTAGATCATAAATCAGCAAATGAGAATTTTTGAAAATTTAACTCATATAACAGAAGGTAAACATTATTACCTTGATTTAAACTCATTTGTTTCTAACAATGAATTAACTATGAAATTGTTGTTCAGCTAAAAGATCCAAAGATCAATGAGGCAGGGACACAGACAGGAAAGAAGAGGTCCACATCAACTACAGTAGGGGAGTTGGGGAAACAGAGTGGATGCTGGAACTGTGAGATGTAACATAACTGGGAACACCTGTCAGAAGACAATGAGTCACCTGTTCACACTTCCAACAGTGGGATAAAGGCTAACATTCAGGAGCAACAGCAGGTGATTCAGAAGGAAGTACAGAGAGTAGAAGAGGATAGATGTGTGAACTGTGCAATCAGGATATAGGGGCCTGATGGAACATCACAGATAAAAGCTTACATCATCTACATAGGCTGAATTGTGGTAGATAGAACCTTTCAGGATCTCATTCATGTTATGATCATTATATGACACTCTCGCATTGCCCATTAATCTGCACCTGTAAGGAATGGCCCAATGTTCCACATCTTGTCTGGGTGCAAGAAAGACAATAACCTGTTGGACAGAGCTCAATCATGGGAGATGAGGGAGGACTTGGACGAAAAGCATGTCTTCCTAGACATTGTTGAAACAACACTGATGCCTGATATCAAAACTAATAATTGCAGTTGATCTTAAAGTATTATGTGAAGAAGGCTGTGATGGAGCCCATGATGGGAAGAACACCAACAATGATGAGTAGATGGTGGCAAAGCACAGGTTAAACAGAAAGATTGTATAGCTCTTCTCAGTCGAGGTTTTTGCAGACACTAGGAGTCACAGGAGGAGATAGAAGTGCAGCCATTAGATGTTTGGAGGTAGCTGCCAAGAGAGAATCATGTTCGCTATTGCAATGTCAAGACAAGCCAATGTGGAAGTAGACATAGAAGAGTTGTAGTTTAGTCACCCCTGTAGAGGATGTTGTGGTTTAGTGGCAAAATATCTGAAAATCTGACATTGACAGCTGCTTCACAACAGAAACATACCAGCGACTTAATCTACCCAAGATTTGTCATAGAATGTAGAAGAGCATCATATTATGTAAGTCATCATCAATCAAATGACTGGCAGTATAAAATATATTGATTTAAATCTGTACTTACAGTCTCAAAGCCTCGGTGTGGATGGTCAGGAAACCCTGCTGGTGGTGTTATGTAAAATTCATCAAGCATCAAAAAAGGATCCAGGTAGTCAACCTAGGAAAGTTAAATAAAAAATATACCATTATTTATTTTCTTTATTTCAACAAATATTTGTTATCTCATGCATGTGTTAGCCCTGAATTGTAAGACTTCCTAATTCCATTCCAGTTCCAGTGCTACCAGACAAAGTCTTAATTTCTTTCCTCTGGCAACTCTAGGGCCTATGATAATTTGATTATGAATAACTGTTTAACCGATGCTAGTTTTTCATATAGTATATTACACTGAAGAAATTCTATATTCAAACTAAATTCCAATATCATACCAGGCCATTATGAATTGAACAATACTGGCTTGAATGTCTAGAATCTAGAATGGTACATAAATCAACTAATTGCTCATTATTACAGACTTCTGAGATTCCAATGCTATTACATATAACTGCTTGTATTACTAACATAATTATCCTCTTCATTCCACTGCTGTATCATTCAACTGCTTCGTTACATAGCCACTACATTGCACTGCTGCAACATATACCTGCTGTATAACTTAGCCCTGACATTCCAATATTGTGTTATACTACTGCTATATATACAGTTGTGGTAATGCATAACACACCTAAAACCTTTGTATGCACAACATAATGTGTGCACACACTCACTATACAGTATCTAGTGCTCAAACATTTTGTAGTTTTGTAAAAATTGTTGACTATTATTACAGATTGAAAATTAAGTGAAAAAATTTATTAATAGCTACAAAGGTATATCAACATTGATCAGTAATTATAGAAAGTCTTTTTTCAATACAACAGTTTTCGCAATAACACTTAACCATGCATTATTTAGTCTTTCCATCAGATAGTTTTACACTTCGGTGTGCCACGAGCAACAAAAATTACCTGTATACAGGTAATTATCCTGCAACTGGCACTGCCATTGTTGGAATACACCTGCCACATATATTTTCGCTGTATTTTGCTGTGACGGAAAACAGCTGTATTATGTTTAACAATAATCATAACTGATAAAATAAGCAATTTTATATTGTAATGAACAATTTTATTTTAAAAAATTCATAAAATTGCTGTCACATCTGTTGAAGTTTGGAACTATATTTTGGTGCAAAGCAATTATTTTGCCATACCTCATCAGGTAAAATTCATGGTAATATCAACATCAGGTAAGTAAAGATTGAACAACAAGAAGTTTTGATTGCTGAATTTAGGTCAATATTGCAAGATAAATAGAATATAAGCTGTATTTTAGCTCTGGACAGAAAGACAAAAGTGGCAAGCTTTTGTCTTCCTTCACCTTCGCCAAAATTCAGGTTATATTTTAACATACTGACCATGTATTATCTCTAAGTTAACAAAATAATAGAAAAATGAGAGTAACACAGAGGTAATGAAAAAAAAATATTCCTGAACCACTGTATGAGATTTTAACTATTTTAAGAATTTATATCCCCTGTGCTGTATAACTGCTCAATAATATATCCTTAGGTAGCAGTTTCTCGGTGTGGCCATGGGTGACATTTTTGTTATTTAGATTACCCTATTATAAAGGTTTGAATTAAAATTTTAAAAAATAAATCATTGCTAAAATTGGTCTTGTCATGTTTAATTGGACAATGTGGGGTTTCATTTTTTTCAGAATAATATTTTAGCTTTGTGTTTGAGATTTCAATTTGGGCAGTCTCGAATCTGTGTCTACGCACAAAAAACTAGCTTTACAGGAAGTCAAATTTTCATAGTGTTTAGATGTGGTCATATTGTGAAGGATTTCCATGCTGTGTTGGAATTTGCTGAAATGTAAGTAATTTATTACCATGACAGTGTTGTTGATTTTAAGACAGGTCTTCAGAAATAAATTTCTTCTATAAAGTTACAGTGTTCGGTTGGAATAAGCAGTATTGTTTTGCATTTTAAGCATTTTTTTTAGTTGGTAACCATGGCAATCACATGTCAGAAATCAGAGAAATGTTTTGATTTACACAAATTTTATCTCTCTACTATTAATGTAATGGTTATGTAGTTTGTAAATATATATATATATGTAATTATGTGTTTTTCATAATTTCAGGAAAAATGCAAATTAACTGTTTCCTGCTACCTTAACATCCCAATGCTGTATCATGCAACTGCCTTTTATAGCATATATACCCTGACATCCCAAAGTTGTACTGTACAAATGCTTAATATCTAAGATGTACTCTTGGCATTCAGATTTCAATGCTGCACCATACAACTACTATAACATACCCCTGGCATTCCAATGCTACGCCGCACAACTGCACCAATATCCTCCTTCTGTTCCTCAGCATACACATCCTGTTTTACAGTTTTGACCGACATCTCGGGTAATGTTCTACTCTCACTAATTACTTTTTACTTGATGTACTGTCACAAGCATTCTCTGTCTCACAAACTCAATCTCTCTCGTAAAAGAATTCTTACAACTGATGAGGAGTGACAGTGGAACACCTGCAATAAATCAAACAAATATTTAGATAACTTTAGTATAGACTTCAGTTCTTCAGTATACATGTATGTAAGTGATGGTATCTTCAAGTTAGTAATGTCAATGGAATAGTAGCTCTTATAACACAACCAGTAGAAGATTTGAATGTGATGAGGACAAGGAAGACCACATACTCTCACACATGTATGAGTAGGTGTTAACAAATATAGTCGAACTGACTACAGTACATTATTATTTTCAGTACAGTCGAAAAAGTTGGTTGATTTCACAAGGAATGTCAGTGCTAGTACATTTCACTTTGGTCATTTGTCTGATGAAGGTGACCATGTAGTCATCAAAACACCACACTCAAATCTTCTACTGGTTGCATGTGTTATAAAAATCTTCCATTTTTCTACCGTAATATCTAAGAACTGGCGTAATTACATAATTCTATAATATGTTATACCACTGTGTCATTTCCAGAAAATATTTGGTGTCAAAAAAAGGCATAAAATAGTATCTCTTATTCATCATTAACATAAAAAATTTCAACTTTTATACTTTCGTTGTATAGAAAACTGTAACTCTCCAGAACCACAGGCACCTGTGTGTAGCTCTTCAAAGACATTAAAGAGAGTTGCCCCCCTTCCCATGTGTTACAAAAGATAATTATATGGTCCTTAAACCTGAACCATTACTCCTATTGAGAAACAATCTTCCTCAACCACCCCTTGAAAATTTCATATAGATCAACTTGGGTGAGCAAGATTAAAGTTACCTCCCTTATGATTACCCTTATCAAAACACCAATTATCGAAATGAGGACTTGTCATACTGGTAAGCTTACTGTACCATTATGGAGAATAACTGTTGTTATAAACAATTAAGTGAATTCTTGAATGGTACCTGTAAGTTATACACAATGCGACATGCTCTCGGCCATTACGACATTAGCGTACGTGAAATGAAATCGGCAGCTTCAATTTGCATTTTTTACCCGCGGACATTACATGGAAGGTGAGTTTTTTCCCCAGATTTTTGTGTCAAAAAAGGGGTGCGGACATTACACAGATGCGGACATTACGTGGGTTTTTACGGTATGTCTGTATCACAAATATTGCTTTGGTTAACATAGTATCTCGGTTTTACTTGATTGCAACAAGTTTTCACTTCATTCGTTGATACAAAAACATATATTATCTATTTATTTATTTTAAAAGAGAGCTCTCATGTATTGCTGTTGCTGTTCTGGAAAATGTTTGCAGTCATTCTGATGCTGCAGAAATTTGATCACTATAATTTTGATCAAATTGTAGTACAGTATCCTCTATGAGGAATATTATCATAGATAAACTGCTATAGTGTGTTGTAGAATTGATGTGAGGAATATTATCATAGATAAATAGTATTAAGTAGTATTTCTAAATTGGAGAAACTAAAAATATGCATATAATACACAAACTGGCCTATTACATGCCACTTGGGTTGTGGATTTGTTAAAAAAAAAATAGCCAAAATCAATTTAAACTTACCTTTTTCAAATTGTTTGCCTAAGTCACATTTTCTTAATCATAAAACATCATATAGTACTTTCAGTCTATATGGTCTATGTCACAATAGTACAATCACTATGATGGAAAAAGTTTTTAAATAGCTTGCATTATCAGAATACATATTTTAAACAAAATTATTAACCTCATCATAACTACATGTAACTTATTATAATATGTTACAAAAGTTAGTGTTTGAACGATTTCTGCTATTTCAAGTAACAAATTCATACTCAAATTGCAGTGTACCTAATGTGTGCCCTGGGAAGAATGAATGTCCTGTAAGTGTCCTGAATCATATTTAGCAACTAGCAGTTCATTAATCAAGATATTTTTATGATATTTTTTGTTTTATATACTTTACATGAATGTCTAACAACATGCAAAAGTTCATTCTGGCTCACTGATTGAAAAGTATTGAAATGCACTGTTGAAGTTAACATGAGCATGTCTAGCAACAAATGAAACATCTTTTTGATTGGCAGATTAAAACATATTGAAATACACTGTTGAAGTTAATGTGTACACATGTCAATGCAATATACTTACCAGACATGGAGGCGTATAACAGGAAAAAAGACATATTTAACACCCAGCAGTTTGTGTATAAAAGGCCAGCATCATACGCAACTTTGTGATTTTCCTCAACCTGATTTTATGTGAGGAATAATATCATTGGTAATTTCCCTCTCACAACGAATTTCAAGTTATGATATTGTAGACTGTGTGTATATAGTATTACTCAGTACATAGACCTAACCTTGTCTGTCCATGTGTGTATGTTTACTTCACACCTGAGTGAGAGAGTGGAATGTATGGACATGGAGCACCTGTTACTATGCATGCCTCTTGAGCAACCCTCACACACCACAATCCCTCATTCTATCACTTGCAGCGAGGAGAAGTCATACAGCTCCCACTGAGACCTGGTAAGACAGACTGACCAGTGTGATAGTAATTGTCTATAGTTTAAATCTTTTTATGTGATTCCAATTTTAATTCCATTTGAATGTTTATGTGATAAAATTTGTCACATAATATATGTATATCTGTCTCATACATTGTTTATTTATTGCAGTTGTAGGCTTCATGTGAAATAAACCACTAAAGAACCTTCCAGTAAAGTGTCCTTCAATTAATTTGTTACAATATTTACATCAGAAAAAAATAGTTTTTATGAGAGGAATATTACCGTGGATCACCTATTTGTGTGAGGGATACTATCATGGATAATATAACCTGGTTAATATTATACATTACCATGCTCAAGTAGGGGATCACTCTGGAAGCTATCTTGTGTTTCAGCAGTACACAGGTATAAATAACTCCCAATGCTGTCATTTTATTACAAAAGCTAGAGTCAAAAAGTCGCAACCATTCCCTCTACCGGGCCCCAGCAAAGATGACTAACATACTACAGGCCTTCTTCAGTTGCGTCTAGAGTAAAATAGGATTGACAGCTAGCTTTAGCTGAATGTGACAAAGCCAAGATGAGTGCACTACATCGCCTACGATACCAATGTAGATAAAAAGACGAAGGATCTCACAACCAAGATGGACTGTGTAACCTTACGATAGAAATAGCAGCCTACCTTTAGCAGGATATCCCTTGACAGCAAGCACTTACCATTGGGTATATTACGGGTGAAGGTCGCAAGAAGTTTTCTATCTCCGCAAAAAAGAGTTCCAATTTTCCGCTACTTTCGTTTTTACTACGAAGGGACATGGATATATATGTCTAAGCCTCCAGTTTTGACAGAACTAAATTAATTGACACTTTCAAAAAATGGCATATCAGTGGATAGACGTTTTCTTGCCTTCATGGTGATTAAGGTCGATGTTTAACCGGCATGGCAGACGTGGCACGAACATAGCCAGAGACATATGTGTGTTTGAAGTCTCTGGGCATAGCATATACACTGCGTACCACACGGACTTAACTATCACTTGCCTTTACTATCACAGTGGTTGGATTTACCTACCGTGGTCATTTCATGTATCCAGCACATGTTATTATGGAAGTAAATGAGGACTTGTTTTTTTTATTTCTATTACTATTAAAAATTGTAAGTTAATATAAAATAAAGCGTTTTCTAGTATCTTGATGCTTTAATTTCCAAAGCAAACAAAATAACTGCACACTTGCCTTAAAAATATGAAAATCATTAGTCTTTTACTGCACCTTCTGATGTTGTTACTTTTCCTCTATTACAATCAAAGTATCTGGATAAAAGAAAAATGGGTTGTTCTCCTTTAACTTGCCATACTTAATGAAAATTTAAAAAAATACATTCATGTCCAAAGGTAACTGTAATGTATTGGTGTGCACAACAAATGAACTTCAGTCTTTTGTAATGTATTGAATGCACAAAAACATAACTCCAATTCACTAGCGTGTGCACTGGAGTTAACCTCACTGCGCAATTAAATTTCAAAAAATTAAAAGAATTTTTTATGATATCGGTATGTGTAATTTATAGGTATTCTAAATGATATCTAATAAGCACATTGAAGTTCAAATCATGGATCTATACATTTATATTGACGATTTATACTCATTAATCTGATACTCCAAATTATATCAGTTAAATGTGAACTATATTCAAAGACAGAAATGTAAATGTAGACAGATTAACAAATTACTAACTAGCGTGACTCTGAAATATTTAGAGACTTGTATCTTTTATCAAAATGTTGTACATTCTACATATATTAAGCTGAAACCTATCGATATCGAAATATGACGCTCCCAACCCGTGGCGGTTTGTGTTTCTCAGCAAGCTAAGGAATAGACCGATCTTTGCTGACGTGGTTGTTGTTGCTCTTGAGAACAAGCAGCGGGCCTTCCGTATACTGTTTAGTGAGGTAACCACTCATTACAACGGGACCCCATTTCAAAACGATCCAGAATTTTCACGGGGCAATAAACTCAGTAAAACAAAATTAAGTACATTGTATATTTACTTCATATTTGAAGTGAACATGAGGATGGACTGGAGATAATATCGTAATGTCACGGAGTTCACTACAATAATTCTCTGAGTGCGATGCCTTGTTCATTACATGTTCACTACTAAGTGAAATTGATGCCAAGTTTAGTTTTCCACCAAATGTACCAAAGTGGACGAATTTTCCCGTTTTTACCAAGGAAAGAAGGGGGAAAGGTCTTCTATGTTTGTTAACTACATTCTGGTTATGAATTATTTTTAGTAAACGAATATTACGTCATTTGAATTAATTTAATTTATCTTTGTTATCAGCTCACCGTTCATATGTTGAATGAATCAAGGACAATTCACTGGGCCATGACCAATTACCATTTATAATGTTCTAAACCAAAATACTGACAGATCATAAAAAGGATCCGTTGACTATAAATATTAATAAGTCCTAAGTAAGTTCCATTTATCTTTTACTGTGATTTTGAATGTCTGAAGGAGGATAGGGGGTAACTATATTCCACTCTGAGCTACTTGTTTAAGGGTCGATAGTTGTTCTGTTGAAACACTTATATTTAACGTTTATGTCAAAACGATTAAGGTCAATCGTTTTAATGACACATATTTAGATTATTCCAAAGAAGTAAGTTTAGTGATTATATCTAGGTTAATTGGTTTTAGTTGAATAATGCAAAAATACCAAACACTTATTATATACACCTAACTTCTGGATTAATATCAATATACAGAGACTGCGATTAAAGAACATTTCATTTACTGGCAAGATAAAAGAAGCTTACTGACGAGATACAAACTTAAGATTTCTATACTTATTTCATGAGACACCTTATTGTGTTAAATTCACATTATACTGTACACACATAAAAAGCAGTATTAAAATCGTGTATAAAAGAGGTGGTTAGCACCAATTTACGTTCATGACGAAAAAAAACCACTTATCTATTTAAATAGAATTGAACCATAAATAAAGACGACAGTTATGTCGCCACGAGCACAGGGACTTGATATTTCAATTTGGCGAAGGTTATTTTTTAATTCAACATTAACTTGACTAAATCACTTCACCGACATTAAAAAACCCTATAAATATAAACAAAGATATAACTTAAACGAATAGATTGATAAACAAATGCATTTTATCGCTGGGCTTCCATCTTCTGATTATCAAATCACGGCCCTGTGTATGCAATGAAACCGATCCTGGAAACTCTAGTTATTTTACACAATGTTATCGATATCTGCCTGTATCCATTTACTGTTTTAAAAATCGATCACGCATACGTAACGCGATACCTAGGCTCGTACCCTGTACATTACTGGTGATTTAAACTTCAGCTTCGACATGAAAGAAAATTATTTCTATACATGTATACAGAATGTATACTTAATATAGCCACCACCGTCAAAAGAAAAGAAGCAATGTCTGTTAATAAATAATATTCCTAAATGAATCCCGATCAGAGAAAAAAAAAACCTAACCAGTCTTCAGTAAAGTGATATACATGCAAGCTTATGTTTCAAGGTAAAGACTTGTTGATAGATATTAACTACAATCTACCTCACACAGTTTACGTTTAGATCCATTTAATCAATATATCACAACCCTCTCCGCACAGGCATGCAGGTATGCGCGGGGCATTGTCATCACGATCTGCTATACTGCGAACATACAAACACCCCTGAACATAGCAGATCAATACATTTAAAGAGCGGAGCGAGTTGAACCATGACTTCATGGTGACCCGCGTGTATATCGGTGTATGTGCTCCCAAGAGGGTTGACAATCCGCCAGCTCTAACCAAAGTATTCTCTTTCCCAATACGAATCACGGATGAACCACGCCCTCCAACAGTAGCAAGGCACGGGACAGAGTCCCAGAGAAGGGATAACGGCACAATTGGTAGGTAACATTTTAAAAACATACTTCAAGTTAAAGTAATTTTTTATGGAATTCATCTGTCGATTAGGATAGATCTATGTCTGGCAGTGATCAGGCGAGCAGACTGTAAATCGACGTGTTAACAAATCTCCTTAATTCAATTATACTACTGGTTCAATTATTCACTCGATTACGTTCGGTAGAGTGCTGTAGATATGCACCTAACTATAATCTGTCTTATTTGTTCGAATTCCTGCAGGTGGTGTCGTATAAAGTATGACACCTGTCTACCCTGGTCCATATATCACCACAGAACTTTGAAAGGAACTTACTGGCGTGGTGCAGATCGTCTAAAAATTCCAACATGCCGAAAATGAACGACCCGTTGCAGTGTGGACTGTGTTTAAAACGTCACAGAGATCCGCGAATTCTAACCTGTTTCCATAGTTTTTGTCGGGAATGTATAGAAAAGCTTATATCTTCAAAGAAGTACAAAGTGTCTTTCCCTTGTCCCCTTTGTCAAACGGAAATAGGCATTCCAAAGGCAGGGACCAAGACTTACCCCGAAAACTTCTACATCCGGGCTATTCAGGCCACTGCAGCATTCTCAACTATCTCTATGTGTGACACTTGTAACAAAACGAAGGAAGAGAGCGCGAGCTCAAGGTGTTTAGAATGCGAATGTAACTACTGTAGCGCGTGCACAGCCCGCCATTTTGAAACCGAAACAACAAAAGAACACCATCTTATAGAACTGTGCAAACCGGAAACAAAGTCGATAACAAATTTGACTCATAAAACATTTTGCGAAAAACATAAAAATGAAGAGACGAAATTTTACTGTATGCTCTGCGAGATGCCAGTTTGTAAGGAATGTGTATCAAAAGTGTCTGATCACAAAGGGCACCGGTACAAGAGCATCGCAGAAGGCGCCAAGGAAAAGAAAGATCTCATTTCTCCTATTATCAAGAGTATGCACGAGTATTTACCGGTCCTTGAAGAGTATCTAGAGGACATCAAATCCTCCAAGAAGATGCTTGCTGATTACGCTTCCGACAGCATCAAAGAAATAAAAGCAAGATGCCAGATGCTTCATGATGAGATAGAAAAGATTAGTAAATCGTTGGAGGAACAAGTGCAGAAGAATGAAGAGAAGGAGAACCAACGAATGGATAAACACATCCAACTGATAGAAAGACTGCTAAAATCTTTGTCGTATACAACAGGATCGTCAGAGGACATCACCAACCTCGCCAGCGACAGCGAATTCGTTCTGATCTGCGCTAAACTGCAGAACAGGTTCAAGCGGATAAACCAAGAAGTTCCAACTTCCGGTCTTATCAGTTGTGAAAGCAGCAACTTCCACAGTGGGGATATGCAGGGCAAGAATTTGCACGAAATGATAGGCTATTGTGATGAAACTGATGTAAAGATGCCGTTGTTGCCCATTCCTTGGGGTCTCCGAATGGCTCTATCATTTGAGGTAACTCTTATGTACAGTTTTAAGGTTTCCGAATCCATGGACACGATACATGCGATTGCACCCGTATCAGAAAAGGAAGCCTGGATATGTTGTGGATGGGGGACCAACAAGATGGATCTGTGGACAAGAGAGGGAGAGAAAAAGAATACGGTAACATTACCTATACAAGTTGATGATATCTGCGTTAAACCTAACGGTGAGATTCTTGTGTCCAGTTACGACGGTAAGAAGATTGTTAAACTAGACAAAGACCTCAAACCGGCCGATTTCGTAAAGCTGAACTGGTATCCGGGCGGGATGACGTACTCCAAGAAAAAAGAACTCCTGGTGTGTGCAGTGGACAGCTACGTCACAACACGTTCTAATACGTCACGGCGTATGGTGATACGAATCAAAGATGATGGTACAGTGCTGGATCAGATAGAAGATAACGGCTTCAATGAGGTATTCTGCGCCCCCTATCGGCTGTATGAGAACATGATTGGGGACATATGTGTGACAGATCGTGAAGAAACTAATGTCAGGGTCACAAGTCTGACGATGGATGGCATCATCAAACAGACATACACCGGTCCGAAAGAGGTAGTCATGAAGAAAGCATTCAATCCGTTTGGCGTCGTATCGGACAAATATGGTCACGTGATCGTGTCAGACTGGAGTAACCACGCAATTCATTTGTTGGATATAAGTGGTCAGTTCATTGGCTTTCTACTCACTGAGAAAAATGGTATCCGAGGACCGAACGCGCTTGCTCTCGACAAAGAAGGTCATCTTTGGGTAGGCGATACAAAGTCAACAGTCTGGGTATTCCAGTATCGACGGAAGGCTGATGAGCATGGTTCGTCTAACTCTTCAACCTAGTGCAATATCGGAAGTGCCATCTGGCGGTGCTGTACACATGTTTGTTCATTACATTAAATGTTGTGTGCAATTTTTCATAGACATTTTGGTATAGCGTGGCTTTTTAACTGAGCGAATAATTGTGTGAATATTGAATGTGATATGTATATATGTTATAAGTGTGACATTCCGTCTATGGTTTTTCGAAGCTGTGTCTGCAGTAGAATTAGCAGTACAATATATATCTTCAATGCATTGTAGATCACTATAACTAGTTCTGGTCTGATTAAACTATGTAGACTATAAGGTATGACGAGGTTGAGGACACAGAGGGCCGTCAAGACGTGTCGAGTGTTACACTTCTGTCACAATACTAGGTACACATATCACATCGGAATGAAACTAGATTCACGAGCTATGTCACACATAAAAAACAAATCTTGAAAAATTGAGTTTTATATAAAAGAGAGAAAAAATAATGAAACACGGAATTTATTTTGCTTTCGGTACTTTCCATATAAATCTATATTTATGTCAGTAAGTTGACATTATGATATCTATATGCTAATCTGATCTATAATACACACACACAACCTACACTAAGCTGTCTATTGTCTTTATAGCAGTGATAATATCAGAACGTTATACAGGCAGACAATGCTTTCCTACCAAGGTATGTGTGTGTACCGACATCGTTATATATGTAATGCAAAATATAAGCTTAAAGAATTAACTGAAAACAGTATAATTCTTTTCAACTTTAAGTAAACTCACAATACCGACTTTGGAAAAATGGCGTACGAAATATGTGTTGAAATATATATATATAATATCTTATACACGTGACCTAAACGTTTTGTGATATAAACCGACGGCAAGTTGACTAAGCGTAGGTAAATGAGTATTGGTTTTTAAACCATTTGTGATTAAAGACGACGGGTGTAGTCGGTAACCGATAGTGCTACTTGAGAACCATTGATGATTAGAATAATATAGATGTGAGAATAGACTGGAAACGGATATCAGTGACATACATACACTAAATGAACTATTTATAAATAGTTTTACAAGATTACAGGGAACTGGTACGAACAATTACAATAGGCAAAACTCATGCTGGATCACAGGGTCCTGGCACAATGTCTAACCCCATTTCCTGTTTATATATATAATTACATATATATTTATATATATATGTGTGTGTGTGTGTGTGTGTGTGTGTGTGTGTGTGTGTGTGTGTGTGTATAGTTGGGGGAGGGTGGGTGGTGGATGTGTGTGGTGGTGTGTGGATGTGTGTTGGAGGGTGGGGAGCGGGGGAGGGAGTGTGTGAGGGTGGATGTGTGTGGTGGTGTGTGGATGTGTGTACTCATTATGGCCATGTGGCCAGGGTATATGGTGACACAGCTAGTCTTTGTGTCGAACTGCTGATAATGAGATTTTTAATCAATATCACTTTTGGTTCCATTAAACTATTTATTTTACAACAATTGCGAAACAAGTTTTCCTACTTATATTGATAACTCTTGTTGGCCCGGATGGAAGGGGTCTTACTGTGGGAGGATACAGAATTACCCAGAGGAAACCCACGTAGTCGGACATATATCTTTTCATGTCTGTTCCGAAAATCGAACCCGGACATCTAGGTGAAAGGTGAGTGCGTTACTACTGCTCCATCCGACCACCCCATGATTCCAGTTTGATATGTTTCAGTCGAGCTCTTTTGAGAAATAGAATATATGAAGTTTGCATAAAAATTGATGAAATGATTTTTGTAATTATTTCCGTTTTTGATGTTCTACAACGAAAACCACTTCCGGCGGACGTTGATACAGATAAACATATGTGTAATTGTGTTAAGATTTGTGTAAATCCATAGTGTACTTATATTGATTGTAAGGGCGCGATTACTCATCACGGTGGAAGTTGTATGATGTCATACAGCAATCATTGTTCATTAAAGTAGCTTCCGACTAGAACTGATTTCCGGTGATTGTATTGTATTGTAATGGGACCGTAGTAGTGAATACAGATGTAGAGCGAAATACAATTCACTAAATACCATTAGATTAATGAAGAGAGGCGTCAATCGATTTCTGCGTTAAAAATGACCTCTTTCCTTCATCAGAAGACTTACCATTTTTATTTTATTTAAAGAAAATAGCAAAACCATTGCATGGGTCAACTTGGCTTGTATTCTCCAAGGTTAGCATTACGAAGTTACAATCAACTATTGAAATTTCTTTCTTTCATTCCTTATAACCCTGTTAAAGCAATTTCATATAAGCCAGTTACTGAAATTTAAACGACATAATTTTATGTAACGGTCAGAAAATCTACCACAACCATATTATATTTAAGTCCGTGCCTTAACAGACATTTTAAAATTTGTAATCATTGTATGACTATATGTTTTATTTACATTTCCGTGGCATTCTAGTGCTTGGTATATCGACCCAAGGATATGTACCATAATAGGCTCTTAATGCAGATTATCTCCCTTGATTTCCTATTCTTTTACTTTTCTCGTGGACTCGCATCGAACATTCAACGAGCGTAGTCTAGTGGAGTAATCCAGACCACTAGCTAAAGGGAATGATCAGAATATTGTTGTACTTAATAAGCTTAGAACGACTCTATGTTCCCCTGTCTTCCAAATGCACCATGTGAAAATACACCGAAGTCCATGATATAACTTGATAGTACGGGTTAAATTATACGTTCCTGGTACGGGTGACGGATTAGAAAACTGATAGAGCGTGTAAGGACATTGACTTTAAAGTACCAGCTTAGACGTGATTATGTTAAGATTTAGACCAACATTATACATCATTACACGGTAGTATTAACCTCCTTTTTATTCCAGAAGACTTATACATATCGTTAACACTGACTAACAGGTTTGTATTTAATTGAAATACACATGTATGCAGAAACATATATTCAGGTCTCAGATGTGCTGTGCACACTTTAATATGAATTAAATATCCTGACGTCCTACCCATTGGGTATTTTCTAATACATCATGGGATGGGTTTTATACAGGTAAACAGACTGGTCATGTATAACTTACATGCTACACGCTCTAGGCAATTTTTTTACAAGAGTTGTTCCCCTTACATCATGAAACTATATTTGCTAATGTACTCTAAACAGGCGAAAGTGGGGGAAAAGGAGAACCACTAAAAAGAGACCCGACAGAATATATCGAACTGCATTCGGAGTAATCGTCAGTGTAGTGATCCGTATATATTGTTTGTCGTCTGATGTCCAGACGGACATGTTCAGACCGTGAACGATCTGTTCTGAGAATATGTTATTGATTTCCCTTCTGCATGTTACTGTGAGACAAGGCGTGTCTAGATTTAGCAAAGATACCGAGGTCTAGAGGCTTTCGTTATATCCCGGAATGGTTCACTGTCCAAGACACATGCTAGCGAACATAACTATATACAAGTCTCGCTTGATTCGGACAGATACAAATGATCAGATGACTGTGGGCGAAAGCACGATAATCTGGACGCATACTGAACGGCAGAATATGCTGGCTCAGCAGATTTCATTACTATTCTCTATCCCACCAAGCCACTTTTATAAGATTGGGAATAGAACATATATAAGAGTACAATGGAAAATCGAGGACTTATAAAAAAAACCAGCATTTTGTCTCATTATCAACGAAACGATAACAAAATATAACGAAAAGGTAAAAATACACGGAAACTTGAAAGATATAAAGTTATATAAGATTTTACCGGAAGGAAAAAGGGTGTGTATTGCTCCGCCATCGTTACCTTTTATGTTCATGTAGGTGAAACGCGGAATCTAAAAGAAAAGTTACCATAATATTTAAACTATTGCGCACAAGGGAAGATTCAGAACAAAGGTTTTCAGTTGTCAACTTTTGTCTTTCTAATCAATTGTAACATATTACTAACGTAGGTTGGGGAGTAAGATATGCTACTATCAAAACTTGGAACGTTAACAGAGCAAATGTAAGATTTAGAAACATCACACAGCATCTGAGATTCCCGTGTCATATATTCTAGGCGGGGATGGGAGATTCCCTGTTAGGACATTGGTATGACGTCATAACCACGATTCATTGGCATTACGTCAACCATGCCAAATATCCAGAAAACAATATTACAAAATGTGAAGAGAAAATAATTCTTCTCCTCGAGGACGATCCACTTCTCTGGAAAGATTATTCAGTTTGCATGCATGTGAAAATGGCGATTTCTCTCCAGAATCATCTTTTATATGCCGACCCAGGCATGGTCATTTCTTTCTTTCTTTTTTAAGGCCAGGGTGTTTGGTTTTAATCGACTCCAGATCGATATAAAGAAAGTTGACAGAATGTCTCAATAATTATGATTATCACTAGGATAACACGATCAGGGACACAACAATAGGATCAAACCACCAGGATCAACCTTCAGGTTCACCACCAGGGTTAAACCACCAGGATCAAGTTCCAGAATCATACCTAAAAGTTCACCACCTGGGTCAACTACCAGCGTCATACCTCCAGGTTCACCATAGGATCACACCACCAGGTCAGCTACCAGGGTGACACATCCAGGTTCACCACCAGGGTCATTCTATCATGGTCATTCTACCATGGTCACACCCACCACGATCATACCACCAAGGTCACACCATCGGGAAAAGTTACCAATTGAGTCACACCACCAGGTTCAGACCACCAGGGTCACACCATCAGGAAAAGTTACCAATTGAGTCACACCACCAGAGTCATACCTCGGGAAAAGTTACCAATTGAGTCACACCACCAGTGTCACACCTCGGGAAAAGTTACCAATTGAGTCACACCACCAGGTTCAGACCGCCAGGGTCACACCTCGGGAAAAGTTACCAATTGAGTCACACCACCAGTGTCACACCTCGGGAAAAGTTACCAATTGAGTCACAACACCAGGGTCACACCTCGGGAAAAGTTACCAATTGAGTCACACCACCAGAGTCACACCTCGGGAAAAGTTACCAATTGAGTCACACCACCAGGTTCAGACCACCAGGGTCACATCATCAGGAAAAGTTAACAATTGAGTCACACCACCAGGTTCAGACCACCAGGGTCACACCATCAGGAAAAGTTACCAATTGAGTCACACCACCAGGTTCAGACCGCCAGGGTCACACCTCGGGAAAAGTTACCAATTGAGTCACAACACCAGGGTCACACCTCGGGAAAAGTTACCAATTGAGTCACACCACCAGAGTCACACCTCAGGAAAAGTTACCAACTGAGTCACACCACCAGAGTCACACCTCAGGAAAAGTTACCAATTGAGTCACACTACCAGAGTCACACCTCAGGAAAAGTTAACAATTGAGTCACACCACCAGGGTCACACATCCAGTGTTGTCTCTTTAACCTTCACAGACATGTATCTTGGCTTACGCCTGCACTGACCGTGTTATCTTCGGACTGAATATGTCTTTAGCTGATATCGTTTGGAAATTTACAATCAATCAACTGATCAATCAATCATCAGATATAGTCGTTTTAGTCGCGATAGACAGACTGTTGTTGTCTCGTTCCGCGAATAATTCCTGCGAGTCATTGCTTATTGATGCTAGAGACCTTCAACGTCGCCTGTTTCCAAGGTCAAGGCTGTACTTGTGTCATTATAAAGATCAGATTAATGGAACCGTAAAGAGTGCACAGATTTGATTTCGAGCATATCTCTATCAATTTTAACATCAGTAACAAATTTATCAACCTATTATTCTGTCCAGGTTTTAAATTCTAAATTAGATTCCCATCCCTTATCTGGTAACCGTGCATAATTGATAATGATGTTGAATAGGAGACCAGAACCTCCACCAGGATCCGATTCATTGAGTGATGTATGTGTTTTTCAAGTAAATTTAAAAGGAGATATTCTTTTAAAGAAAATTACGCAATCCTAATTCTCTCGAAAGTAAGGCCACGCGCCAACCAAAAAATTTCATCAATTTCGAAAGCCCTTAAATGAAGTTTTGAATCCTCGCCATGCTTTCCCCAGTGTGATGAGGAGGAACCCTCACTCCATGACTTCCCTCTGCCATCTGTCAAAGTTTTGTTTAATTCCTATTGCAGATTATTAGACTAAATATGCATGCTGCATTACGTCTCAGATTATCCACAGAGTCTCTAGGAGGCAGTTTTGGTTACTGTGATACTCTGTTATTGATTTCGCGATGTGTACTCTTTGAAGACGAACCATTGTGGACTTCTATCTGGTATAAACTATTATATTACCTTACAAATAACATTTGGCATTAGTTTTGCAAATTGCTCTCTTAAACATATATACTTTACTAATACAGAAACCCAATGTTCATTAATGTAATGCCCTCATATTGTGTTTTATAATTAAAGATGATCACTTTCGAGACGCCTTTGAAAAAACGACACATGAATTTGTTTGTTTGTTTGTAAGTTTTCTGAGTTTTATCATCGTGTGAATAGCTAGTATGTGGCGTGATTTCCTTGTTCGCTGAAAGCTGTGTCTTATCACGTTGAACATCATACGGGAGAGCCACCGCATGCTATTAAATCCATTAGGTTAAAGCGTCTTGTTCAATGAAAGAACCACAACAGTAAAGGGCGACCCGTAGGAAACAAAAACCGCTGCGAGTACGGACGATCGGACCATCGCTTCACTTGAGGTTCCCTGATGCTGTGTCGATTGAGTTAAATACATATATCATGTACAACAAGATGCTGCGAAATACGAACCAGAAGCAGAATTCATCAGCTGTTTAAGCCAGTGTTCGGGTTTATTTTATCTATCAATTATTTAAACAATCTGCTGGAACACATACTGACAACTGTTTGTTTTGTAATTTACAAACATACAATCAAACTTTCAATTCCATTCTATTTCTGGAATTTAATAGATATCTGTAATATATGTCTTTATTTCTGTAAGAGAGAATATATTTCTGAACCTAATAAAAATGCATCATTCCGACACCATACGAGGTCGTTACCCACTGAAACATTCACCTATAAATTATCGAAATATCACAATTCATCATACATATTTAATTGAATAAATATCATACCATTGTGATAATAGCGTCAATAACTATAGCAGAATCGTCTATAAGACTCACTGGCACCGTTGAGTATTAATAAATGTCAATTACAGTGTGATAATTGATATCGGATGATATCACAGACAGCGACCATCAATTCCTATAACTTACCTCAAAGTGACACCAGTGTACAGTTTTGAGATATTCAATGTGGATCGATGAAACCCGTAGTGTTCTGTTTGTAGCAGAGTGTGTGTGTGAATTGATCTATCATCTAAAAAGAAAGTATTGGCAGTATGTCATTTCGAGTGTGTAGTAAGGGCGTAGAAATTGGCGGAATTTTATTATGTTTTGTAAAATCTAATAGTTACGCTTTTTTTACTGAGAGTGAAACCCTAGCACAGCGAAGACAATATTCGGTGAATGGTATAACGAAATATTCCCACGGTCCCTGCGTGTAACTAACCACCCCAACGGTACCTGCGTGTAACCAACCACCCCCACGGTACCTGCGTGTAACCAACCACCCCCACGGTACCTGCATGTAACCCACCACCCCCACGGTCCCTGCTTGTAACCAACCACCCCCACGGTCCCTGCGTGTAACCAACCACCCCCACGGTCCCTGCTGGTAACCAACCACCCCACGGTCCCTGTGTGTAACCAACCACCCCACGATCCCTGCGTGTAACCAACCACCCCCACGGTCCCTGCATGTAACCAACCACCCCCACGGTCTCTGCGTGTAACCAACCACCCCCACGATCCCTGCGTGTAACCAACCACCCCCGCGGTCCCTGCGTGTAACCAACCACCCCACGATCCCTGCGTGTAATCAACCACCCCCTCGCGGTTCCCTTTGAGTACCAACCACTCCCACGATTCTCTTTGTGTAACCAACCACTCCCACTTTTCTTCTTGTGCAACCAAACACTACCGCGGCTCCTCATGCATTCAATGACTGTCCTGTTTAAAAATGAGTGATAAAATACGACCGAAACCAGATCCTCATTTAAGATGTTAAACTAACGAAAAACATTAATTCCTAAAAAAAACATATACTTGCAATTCTTCTGATTCCAGGAAATTGTAAGTTTTACTACAAAGGATACTTATTTTTTTGAATGAAATATGTTTAGAAAATAAATTTCAGTAACGCTTCTCATGGTTATGTATATTGACTATGCTTATGACGTAATAATTGTGATGACGTCACAAGAGCTACTCGGAACAATTAACCCATAATTCTTTCCTTGACTACTGGAAAAGAACAACACGCAAATAACCGCTCCTTCGCAATTTCATCATTTCGCGAGATATTCTATACACGGAAAGATGGTAAATTATCCCGATAGCCACCAGAGCCGGGATGTATTGTCACTGAAGAACGTAAAACGCGCCCAAGACAGAGGATATTTGGGCAAGGCCGAAGGACCAGGTCTTCTCACAACAAACTTGCTTGCAACGCTGCCCCAACGGAACGTCCAAAAATTGACCAGCGCTAACACTCCGGATACAGTAGAGAGACTGCTCGGAAACACAGCTCCATACCAAAACCGATTCGGTAAGGAATCATCGTATGATCTGTATACTAGGAAATTAATTAATGTAATGTATCAAATTACTTATCATTTAACTTAAAGATAGTATGACGTGACCAATATCAATATACAATGTAGGTACAAATGAAGATGTTTAAGGATATTTGGCATCTCTGTGTCTTGTGATATGTTTCTTTATTTCATTGTCTGCGTAGGCTGAGATATCTAATAAGTCACCGTTATTTCTGTCTTTACTTCATAGCGATCGCGCAATATTGTCGAGTCAGCCATTACAATGGCGTGATCGAAAATTATCTTGAACGATGTTAGAATTTTCCTTCGTTGACCGGATTATGAAGATACCACTCAATACTAGTATTCTGACATCTATTACACAAGGCATGCGTGGTTATTATTTTTTATATAAGTATCTTCGGACGATAATTTTATTGCTTGTGAACATAAACAATACAACCTACGGCCTGTTACGTAATTAAGTCCCAACTTTTGTCCATACAGCTTTCTTTGATGTTGATAAAGTTGCTAACCTAAGCAGTTTTATTTGATGTTGATAAAGTTGCTAACCTAAGCAGTTTTATTTGTGTGGTGTGTACGTAGACATAATGCTGAAAACTAAATCTATTTCTAACTATGGTATATTGTGTTTACATTTCCAGATCTCCAGTTTGGCGCCAGGAGACCACCAAATGTCAAAGATGATAACTTTCCTCCTGGGTATAATGGCATCATGAATGAAGAAGGAAGACGAAGAAGTGCCGAAATGGCTATCAAACTGAACCTCCACACGAGAGAGTTCCCTCGAAAACCAATGACAGTTGATGGCGATAAAATCCAACAACAGGAACTGACGGATGCCCAGGATGGAAAGAAAGACAGACACAAGGTCAGTCGTCAAAAAAAGAAAAAGTCGAAGGCTGATGTGGATACAGAGAATGCAGAAATATCCTTTTTCCTTGAGGAACGCGAGATCATGACTCCCGGACTGTATGCTAAGGGGAAACCCGCACCAGCTTTATATCGAACGCGCACACACCACGAGAAGAAACCAGAAGTGGTTAAAGTAGTTCAGGATGTCAACGCAAAGAAAATCAGCAAAGAACCAAGTATTCCTGGCAAATCTGCTACTCGTGATGCAGGAGTCAATCAACTCATGGCAGAGATTGATAAAAAGAATGAGGAATACGAATCTTACAGAAGAAACGATTTCTTCTTCAACCGATTCAAAGGTGACGCCGTAGATGTGAAACTCTCCGATGAAGAGTTAAACGAAGATCAAAGGAAAGACGTTTTACCGCCAATCAACGGGAACGCGGTGAAATTAGGAAAGAGAAAAGCGAAGAAATATAAAAGTCTTCCAAGCCAAGCGAAGTGGAACGACATCGAGGACAAGTCCATTCTGAAAAAGGGGCATGCAGTAAAACTTCCACCAATAGACACAGCGCAAATTGAAAACTCATCCAAGGCTGGTGCTGTACCGCTTAGAGACCACACTATGGTGATGACAGCGTTAACAAACGAAAATGACTATTGGCGTAATGTGGATGCAGGTAGACCACGGGCAGGGAATATCTGCGAAGTGGGGCAGGCCCTCCGCCAGTACTCTCAACCAGAATTAACGCTTCCACCTGTGTTTAACGTCAAACTTCCGCCAATCACAGGACTTCCCGTCCAAAGAGTCAACGACACAAAGAAACGCAAGGAAAAGCGCTTCGCTTGAGGGAGGATAATGTTATGAAGCTATAGAATATGAATGTTGATTTATAAAGTCCAGAAACGATTTCTGAATCGTCATGATTCCGGCTTTGCAAGGAATTGAAATGTTATAACCGATTGATGCGCATGCGTTTTGAAACAAAACGTAAACCTGTGATATATCCATATAATTTTGTAACGATTTCTGAATCGTCATGATTCCGGCTTTGCAAGGAATTGAAATGTTATAACCGATTGATGCGCATGCGTTTTGAAACAAAACGTAAACCTGTGATATATTCATATAATTTTGTATCAATATTGAACATTTGATGTGTGTTATTGCACGGAGGAAAACATCTGCTGAAGTGACCTATTGAATTCGGATCTTGGAACTCCCATGAAATTGGCCGCGCCGAGACAGAGAGAGTTTTTCTTTTAAAACTTTAAAACTTGGAACTATATATCGATACTTAACTCTTAATCTGACCATGTTGATGAAGCTGATTCAGTGAAAGGGATTCTGCCAGACAGCCTACGATTATCAAGAGAAAGACAGTCACGCAGACTTTGCCGTTCAGAAAAAGTTACTTCTGGAGTTCCGTCAATATAATGAGGAAGCCGATTCAGAATTGATTCAGAGGAAGGCACTTCTGTCCAATAGACTGTGTCGAATCAAAGAAAACAATTTAATTCTGTCGAGCAGACATTGCCTTTTTCGAGTAAAGAGCTTCCTGTCAAACATACTACTTCGATTTGTAAAGAGACTCTTTTGTCAGATTCAAGAAAAAGACTTCTCTGGCAGTAGCATGTGCCGATACACAGTTAAGGCTCTGTCGAAGAGACCGAGTGGAATCTGAAATGGAATGCAGTCCTTTCAAACAGACCGCAATGGTTCACACAGAGACAAGTACCGACAAACAGACCGTGTCAATCAGGGAAAAGACAAATAACGTTGATTTGAAGAAAGACGCGTTTGTCCAACAGATATAGCTGATTTTGAGAAAGACACTTCTGGCAAATATGCGGATTGTAGCGATTAGCAGTGATACTCTTCTATCAATTAAGCTCTTTCGATTGGAGCTATGAACGTCATAGACTGTTCAGAGCGCGTTCATTTAGACTGCGATGTTATACTGATTTTTGTTGAATATCAATAAATACATTTGTTTGTAATATCTAGCTTTTAGTGTCTTATATCTGGTATACATTTTGTAGTTAGTGTTACTGGGAATTTTCAATATGGACATGTTTTTATATAACTAGCAAAAGGCAATACAGATAGTGAAATCAGCTTTGATTCTAAATCTTTCAACAAACACGTCATCCATGTCATATTTCTTTTCAATATACAACATATAAAACCAAACAGAAAACTGAGATAATCCAGTCTAAAAATTATGCACGTACAGACGTAAGAGAATGCCCTCAGTCATCCAACCAGCCACCCTCGGGATTCCCTTCTCTCAGTACGGATATGGAAAACACTTGATAAGATTTTATTGAAATGCCCTGGACATCTGATTTATTAGATAGAAAGTCATGTATATTTAAAACAAAGTAAGAAAATTCGGTTTTCGCAAGAGACAATAAACCCGTTGTCTCGTGGGGATACGTAAGTCAGCTCTCGTTAAGAGTTTCGGTGTTAAATTTCTAGTATCTCCTTGCATGCCAAGATCGGCAAGTATCGTAATAATTTTACTGGAGCAATTACTGGGACTAAAATCGATCAGTGAGGACTGCTGCTGCTGCTGAACCAAACGGTACGGAGACTGAGCTCTCTAGTCTCACTAAGGGTGAATCCGACCACGGATCATATGCATGTCCGGTGTCGCGTACTAACACACGAAATGGACGTGCATTTCCCGAGGTATATGGACAAAGTGTGAAAGCCGTGTTTTTGTCATGTTGGCCAGCTTGCCATAACATGACTGTAAGAGGTTATTTTTGTGAAACAAATAATCTTACGGATCATGTCTGATGACTAAACAGCCTGTGTTGGTTTGGTCGGCTGATGGAGAAAAACGTAAGTACAGCTAGCTGGTGGTGAATGGAAAGAGGAATCAATATCTGTGTGTTTTCTTATTAATGCTAACTATCTACAACATTGGTGTGATCTTATATAAATTGGAATGATAGTAAACCGTGCTCCATGTAAACACGGTGATTCAATGGTCCAGTCGTGTTAGCCAAAATCTGCGCGCTTCACTGCGTTTATCAGAGTATAGATAAATATGTTGTATTTACAGTAACCCAATCTGGCTTACGGCATGTTTTCATAATACCTTCAATACTTATTGACAGAATTTTCATTGGCAAATCTTTATTGGCGAATCCCTTTAATGTCAAATCTTTAAGTTGAACTTTATTTGGTCCTATGAGGCAGGCACAGTGTACAGTGCAGTCAGATAATGTGATTTTCCATTGTAAAGTACTGATTCTTACGTAAAGGTTATCATTTCTAGCATGTTATAATCAACTGAAACGCCTTGAAATAAAAGCGAGAAAAAAAGATTTTGATATTTCTATAATGAAGGGTATTTGACCATTGAGTTTAATATGGTTGATTTTAATCCCATCGATTTTACAAACTGCAATGTAATGTAGTTATGAAAAACAAGATATATTTATTTATTGTTTGAAAGTACGGATCATCTTTCAATTTCAGTGTCTTTTTAAAAGCATTTTTATCAATTGCACGCATAACCTTCCACGCGTTATTCAACTGCGTCGTGATTACAGGATTGAGTTTTTCTGACGTGAGCTAACAATTTGAAATAGCATTAACGCTTTGCTTTTAAAACCGTTGTTGTCTGAAGTCTATTGAAAGATAAAGCTGTATAAAATGTCATGTGTGGAGAAGCCACGTCAATCTGATACGATCATCCGACCAGGAGTAATTATTGATCGATATTGACACAGTTTCCGGATAAATCCTAATGTCGTTTCGTCTAACTACTCCTGACGGTTGTTTCCGCCGGACAGGACCGACGGCAGATACACACGCGGTTCACTGTACTCGTTCACACGTCATGACATGGTTTTGGCTAATATCTCACGGATGAAAGCGTCCTTGCTGTTTTCATTATCATTATCAAAGACGTTATGCACTTTCAATTAATACTGAAAATGAGAGGAAATTGATTGCTAGGGTTATAATGTTGAGTGCAATAAGGAAGGTCTGTCCTCTGACCAAGAGAAATAGACATGCAAAAAGATGGTAACTGCGGCCCTCTTCCACGGTAACGAATGACAAGCCTTTTGTCAATATAACGTGACCGGGATGGGTGTAATGCTACTTTGTCAGGGCGATTACATTTCGGTGTGATGGCACTATAAATGGTAGCGCTACCTTGACCTCTCACATCGCCTACCTATGACCTTAGATGATGCGGGAATGCAAGACCCTATAAATTAATCAAACAACTCGGTCATTTTCAGACTGTAAATATAGGCATTCCAAGTATATATGTATATATTGAATAGAATAAAATGACCTCCAATTCTTTTGTCACTGAATACCTAAAGTACCTGAAAACAAAAGTCTTGGCTGAGATTTCATCAAGTTCTAAAAGTATAGTTTGAAATTTCTCTCTTAAAAATTAGTAATCCCAATTACAATAAGTAATATGTTAAAATTACCTATTAACAGTGTATCCAATCAATATTTCGTATTAAAATGTATTATCTTCACTAGATTAAAACTATCATGAAGTGTTGGGGATTTAGTATTAAACGTGAAGTCACTGTCGAAAGACATTTCTTTGTCAATGTTAAATTACGTTTCTTCATCAGTGTGCCTTACCGATGAGTTGAGAAAAACTCCTTTCTATTGGAAATTAAACCCATGAAGTTCTAATAGAGAACACTGTAATTTTACCGCTAACAGGTTTTACCGGAAACAGTGTTGCTCAGAATTGTAGCAAGAATTACGTTTGTTGAGACGAGAATATCATGTAAATGTTATTGTATATTTTTGTTGGTTTGATGAATCACTTCTCTAATTACACCCTAACAAGGGCAGACAGCTATCGTTATTATAAAAATAATGATTTCCGTCTTCTATCGTAATTATAGTGCAACAATCCGCTAGATGTTCAAACTGACGCCAGGTTTTAAATGCCTGGTCAGCTTAACCCTAAGCCAATGAGATCATGACGTTTGTCATATATACAATATAGTTTGGTTGCAATAGCTTAAACTGCTTGTTAATAGCTATCAAAAGAAGATTTCTTTTTTTCTTTATTGTGTCTAAGTTTACTGTCACAATTACCTGTATTTGGAGTTTAATCAATTTACGATGTTTAAGTTGATGAACTTTTTTCACAATGGAGCCTCGGTGACTGTTTGAGCCCGAGATTTATCAATATTAGCTATCGGAGCTTGATGAAGCAGTAAAGGTATGTGTGTACATACACGTCATCAAATGGAAACCGTACTTAAATGGCGGAGTATAATGATGAATTATTCATTCGTGAATCATCTCTCAGCTCATTAACTGTAGGCTTACCTGTAGAACATCGATACAAAAACCTAACAGTTCCTACGGTCGCGACAGCTATCGGGATTTTGGAGTCAACATCATCAGCGTGGACATGGAAGGATGCATCATTAGTCATGGGCGATTTAATTGTCCCCACGTGGCAACACGACAGTTTCCCGCCAGTTTGATGGACTTGTTCATCTCACGCGAGACACAACAAGATTTGCATCAGACATGCACAGATGTGCATCTCCGCCATGTCCCACCGACTTTCTGCTTCAACTCGCGCGAGATGCCGCCAGAACCATGTGTCAGATTGGCCCGGGGCAGCAGGTCTCGTGCGTATCCTACTAAAATCTGTCCCCACCAGGACCCAGATTGTCCTTAGACATGGATTTTATTGGCATGTTATAAGATTAGACGCTGTGGGACCGATACATGCTAGCGTGCATCGCTCTTTCTGCAAATAAAATTGCATTAGGCTGCTATAACTCAGGCATAATTAATTCTATGAAATATAAAGATTATGATAAATTCTGCGC